TGCTGCACACAAAGGCCAAACAAAACGAGAAATTTAATTATTTATGAAAACATGAAAAGCAGTCGCTCTGCCTCCGAACATTTTTCATTAGAGCCGAGAGTTCGCCCCTCCGCAAAAAAAGAAACACAGTACAATATAATTGCCGAGCTAAACCCAAACAGCTACCAACTTTGACCGACTACGGCCTGACCGCTATTGTGGCCTTGAAGCGACTGCGGAAAAGGCAAAAAGGGGTAGCTGGCCGTGGAAAACGGGGGCTAAACTCACATGTAATTTGTTTTTACCCCCAGAGTTCCGAGTTCCGAGTTCCATTTTCGGCATGCAAGGCAAAGAGCAAACAGCAGAACGTACATTATAAGGCCGCGATATATTAAACTCATACACGCGAAAGGGCCAAGAGCAACCAAAATGGCCCAAAGAAGAGTTCGCTGGGGAGGCTCGAAAAAGTCAAAGTGAAAGTACGAGTATCACGGAAGCCCCGAATAAAATGTCGGTCACATTATGGTAATTTAGCTTTGATATGTTGGCCTGCAAATGGATCTCGGTTCCGCATTTGGATAACGGTGTGATACATTTGTCTACTTAATTTTGATGGATGTTATTTAAGGACTAAGGGTCTATTACGAAGTTACCAAATAATTGGATCGATTTTGTCTTGGGAAACAACAGTTTTTTCTTATGTTTTTTGTTGCATAAATACAAAATTGTTGATATTATTGTTATTTGGTTGTTTGTTCTTATATAAAAATATTTAAAATAATCTATATTGTATACATTTATTTTAAACATTTTTTAATATAAATATAAAATTGTAACTCCGAATATGTATTAATAAAATAAATCGTTAAAAGCAGTTACTTTGCACAAAATATTTGTCGACAAAATACATTTTTGTACGTAATTGACAAACGTGGAGACTTCCTATAAAATTTGCAATCCTAGATCCACAAAATGAAATTGTTTGCAAATAAAATTGAAAGCAGCTAAAGAGACTTTCAACTCGAGAATAAGTTATTGAGCAAGTTGACAAATTGGGAAAAATTCGTTTATCGATTTATGACAAATATTTTTTGAGTAAGTAAACACTAACCTAGGAAATTTTGATATTTATTTCCTTTCTGGGAAATTTAATTAAAACGAATAGAAAGGATATCATCAGATCTCTCATCGTCATTGCTCTACGCAAAAACAATTTAGTTCTTCGATTATCGCAAACAGCATCCACAAATAGCAAAGATTTAGAGTTTCCCTTTAGGTAAAAGTGCTTCAAACAAGTGGAAAAAAAAGTTACTGGAAAAAGAGTGTTGGCTTAACTATTTACACTGCAATGTCATGTAATATTGTGTTCTCAAACAAGCTGAGGCTAAATGCCAATAAAACAAGCTTTTTAAAAAGTTGTTCTGTTTTTCATTGCCTTCTGCTTGTTTTGTTTTTTCGCAGTCATGTGTATCCTTTTTCATCATGTGTGGCTATCCTTCGCAGGTTCATGTATCTATGCATGCAAAATGCCCATTTTGGTTGTTGGCTAAATGGGGTTTTTTTCAGTGGCCCGCTTTATTTTTTACTTTACAGCGGCCACGTTTAGCCTTCAACTCTGGCCGCTGTTGGGTATTGATTTTTGGGGCTTCCCAGTAGTTTCGTTACAAGGTTTTTAATATTTAAACGCCGGCCGTCCCCCTCCCTCCGCTGGTGTCTATCCCTGTTGCGCAAACACAATTCGGAAATGACCCAAAAATGCTTAAATCTCAATAAAAGGGCATTTTGACTTGAACTGTCAGTCGGCGAGTGAGGCGAAGGGCCTTTCTGGGTCGATGTGTCGGGTCGTCGGGTTTTGAGTCGGATGAAATTGGTCGGGCAGAAGGGGGGGCTTCGATGGGTCTGGTCGGTTGTTTTTAGCCGTCAACGTTTTCTATGCCAAGCACTCACACAGTAGCATACTCGCAGCCTGTTGTTCGCCCGGCAAAGTGAAATTGTGTTAAAAATCGCATTCCTTTCTGTACTTCTGTACTGTGCAGCGGAAATTGAAAATAGCGTCGCGTTGTGTGCCACTCTCGTCCTTGTTCTTGTTGTTGTTGTCCCAGTTGCTGTGCGAAATGCTCATATGGCATGAAAATTTAATTGGAGTAAAATGCTGCTGCACAACTCTCAAAAACTAGTTAGAGAGGGCAAAAAACGAAAGAGGAAAGCGCAGAAAAAAAAGCGAGAAATCGCCAGGAAAACTAGCACATAAATCAGCGAGAGTTTCCTTTTTTCCCCGTCACCTTTTCCCCTGTTTGCCTCTTTACCTTTTTCCCGGTTTCGAGATTGAAATGTGCATACGGCATTAGCTTTAAATATGAAAGAGGCTTATATAAATAACATGAATCTTGTGTGTGTGGCCAAGTGGCAACACGAATGTTTATTAGTCTGCTAACTGAGCGGGCTGAAATACCCTTTTTTTATGGCTGTAGTTTTTCCTTAATGTAAATACTTTATGTACCAAAGTAAAAATGGCATTACAACTTTTGGAGAATACTTTGAAAAAACTAAACGGCTGAAGAAACTAAATGGATGAAGATGTAAATTTCTATTCTTTATTAACCTCTTTTGAATTTATTCTTTTAAATTTGACATGATAGATCTTTCAAATAATTTTCATAAATCAGCTGATTTTTCGAAGATGTATTTACTGAACTCATCCTTGTGCTTTTCTTTAAGGAGCAAAGTATTTTCCTTTTGCAATGAATCTCCAATTACTTTTTTATTAACTGTATCTTAGACTTTCAGGAATTTATTTATTCCATAAGTCATCGGAAATTTATTGGAATACTTCCCTTAACTCCCGACGTTTCCTTTTCCGATTTGGCACACTTTCGCTTCCCCACCCACACATCCACACATCCACACATTGCAAAGCATTGCAAGTAACGCCTAAAAGCGGGCCTCGGCCAACAAATTTATGATGACCAGCCGGGGGAGTTTGGCATGCATAAAATGTAACGATATCCCGGCTGAAGCCAAAATAAACACTTAATTTATGCCAGGGAGCCCAGAACTGGTCGACGAGTGTGGGTGCAGTGGCGCCTGCGGGGTGCACTGCTGATAAATCAAAGCCCGCAAAAAGTCTTTGACACTGCTCTCGGCCATGGCCGAGTGGCTGTTGGAGAGCCACCTCCCAGCCACGCCCACATGTCGGTGACTTGTACGTCTGCCCCTGCACTTGCCAAAAAAACAGCAGGACCACAAAATCACTTCGAATGTGAGAAGAAGATATATGTAGAAGCAACTACTTAAAGAATAATTCAAATTCAATTTTAAAATATAGTTTTTCATGCATTTACAACTCTGCGGTTTTGTCTTCTTTTTCTTTACTCCTCCATTTACGAGGAAAATGCATGCTGAAATTCAAATTACCACAAAATCATTTATTATGCTTAACATTTTATTTTCGTGTAGAAAACTCAAGAGAGTCGGAAACAAAAAACACGTTACGTGCACACATTTTCTGCTGACATCAGCTGTTTTGGCTAGAGCTTACGGCTTAGATTTTAGCTCTGACCTCGTTCTCGTACGGCCCACAAGCCAAAGTAACAAACAAGTATAAAATAGCAGAAAAAGAAGAAAAACAGAACGAAACACAGCAGAAAAACCAAGAAGACAACACAAGAATATGTTGTCCGATGGGCAAATATTTGTCGTAATGCGTAGAGCAAACAAAGTGCCTGGGATGATGGAAATATATTTGGGGAAAGTCTCCGAGCGGCAAGCCATAATGCATAACTCATACGCCACGTGGGCGGGACACTCCACTTGATGTAAGTTGATGTTTCCCTCCTTTTTCTCGTACTCGCAACATGACAAAGTTAAAAAGGGCGAATGTAGATAACGCATAATGGGTCGTCATCAACAACCTTTAAAGCAAAATTTACTTGAGAAGAGTTAAGGGCACATTGATAAGCTAAAAAGTTTCGAGCTTCCCTTTAAAACATTACATATCAAATACGTTAGAAGTCATTTCCGAGAAATTAATGTCAAAAGCAGGTCTGTAGAAGAAGTTTTAAAACTTAAAAAGAGATTTAATTTCAAAAATGGTTCTGGTATTCATATTATTCATATTCATTTAATAAACTGAATTATTAAAACAACGATATAAAATATTTTGAGCTTTATGTGTATTTAACTTCTTTAAAAGGATACTCATTTTAAAAACTACAGCAAGAGGATTCATTTTGCATTACTCCGGCTTTTTTGTTTCAATAACTTAAACAAAGATTGTTCTTGTACCACAAAAGACTTTTATCAAAATGGTTTCCCAAATTTTTAAGAGTTACCAACAGTAAAGCCAACGAACATTTTGTTTCCACAACCAGACTCTTATTTTCATTATTTTGTCTTGACTGCCAAGCACTTAAATATTTAAACTAAATATTTCATTTGATCCTTTTCTAAAAACTCGGTTATGTGTGTTATCCACTCAATTCCATTAGGTACTTGTCTGCCAGAGTCACAAAGACAAAGCTGCAAAGTCACATTTTCATTACTCTAGCACTCAGCCCGGAAATCTGTGTCCTGACCTGTCTCAAAGTTCGCTTTGCAGCCTACCTGTAATGCAGTCGCAGGCCACAAATAATAGACAAAAGCCAAAAACTATGTCAGCCAGGGCGCACGAAAATAACCAATACAAAAATAATCCAACAGTTGATACTCGGTTCGTTGTCCTACAAAAAGAATGCAAAATCCGGCGACAAGGGGCTGCCTGCAGACTTGTCTTTGTGGCCGGCTTAAGGATTGCTCTCCCTCTATACATATAGATATAGCCGCCTTTATATAGAGTACATAATGTATCCATGTGTGTCTAACCGAGGAGATAAGCCAGCCGTACACACACCAAGGAGGGATGGCCGCCTTCCTCGGTCGGATTACCTCCTTTCCACACCGAGTTCACCGAGTTTTCCCTCCCTCGCAAGCGAATCACGTAAGGAATTTTCGATTTTTTTGGACTGACTCGGCAGTTTGCTTACTTTAAGTTCGCTTTCTTGATGAGCTGCTGATGACTTTAAACTGGCTGCGAAAACGCTTCGCTTGCCTTTATTACAATTGTTTTTGCTCGGTAGATCCTTATGTTTTTGTGGGTGACATGAGGCGTCGGCGACCTTGACTGTCAGCTGCACACATTTCACTGCTTTCCTGCCTCGGGAAAGAGGCTGCTGCTTAAATTTTCACTGTTTCATCAGCATTTTCGTTTGCCTTTTGTTTAAATGGGTTTTACTGCCTGGCAATCAATAAAACAACACTCCGCTCACGGTGCGTATATGTAACGACTATCTGCTGATTTGGCACAATTTCCCCTCGGGAAAAACACAAGAACACACAGAGCACTAGAGCACTTGAAGCTCTCGAGATTGGACAGCTGAACTTTGTATTTTTTTCAATTTTTGTATCGCTGCTAACTTATTTATCTGTAAATATTTAATTTATCCGCTTGAAGTGAACGCGCTTAGGCGATTTTAATGCGATTTGTAAGGCTGCGCGCTGGGGATTCTGCACGTAACGCGTCCTTGTTCCAACTACCGAGGTTCGAACGTAATGACTTGGCCACCAACTCGGAATCCTGGACAGGCCAAAAAAAGAAGCTTTCGCCTCTCTCTCGCCGAGTTTTTCGCCAGTCTCCCATTTCCATTCAGCGGATTTTCTGCGCCTGCGCAGCTGCGAATCCTCTCGCGAATCGTTTTCTCTGCACGTGTTCCCCCTTTTTGGGCTCTCGTTCTCGCCTCTCCACGTTTTTGTTTTGTTTTCGCCATTCGTCGTTAGGCAAGGTTAACAAAAACAAAGCTCTCCCCCGTCTGTGTGAGCGTTTGCCAGCGCGTCTGTGTGCGTGTCTGGGCGCCAACATTCCAAAACATCTGATTGCTGTCAAAAAATGTTGCATGCGTCAGGGATTCGGATGGACATGCGCATTTTTCCGCTTTTCCGAGGCCATTGTGTTCTCGATTTCAACTTGACTCCGGTTAATGTGGGTTAATTTTGGCACGGCATTGCGATGGTCAGGTGAGCTCGGATTGTCTTTCTGCCCAAACTGGGTCCCGACTTTAAATACTTCACATTCCACTCGGGCATGTGTCTTTCACAAAAGCGTAATAATGCCTTTCTTGACAATGGTGTTGAGTTTTTATAATGACTTGGGAATTACACTTGTGTTTGTTTCTACAGCAAAAAAAAAAGCTCGTGTAAATAAGCAACCTATTTTTCTATATATAATATACACACCCATACTCAGACTGAAATTTTGAATTGGACAACATTGTATCTATTAATTCTGCATTTTATACATTAAGGCAGGTTCTCACCTTGTAGGGCCGAAAAATGGACATTTTTTTTAAAAATTGTTTTGAGAAAACGGTTAAAGATAAAAATCTGAAAATTGTAACTTTATTTGAAAACATATTTATTTTGCGAAAAAAAATTTCAAAATTGAAAAACCAAAAAAGAGGTGGGAGTGGGCGTTGCTCAGTTGCAGATTTTGAAAAAAAGGTGTCCCGCTTACGGAAGTGATTCAGCCAAAACGGGTAATCGGAAACACAAAAACCAAAAAGATTCTTAAAGTGTACAGTACTGTGCATAAAATGAACTAGGATCAGAAAAAAATAATAAAAATTGCAAAAGGTATTAGCTTTTGAAAAAAAATTTCGATTTTCGCGCTTTTTTTCTCACTAATTATTTTCTCAATTTAACAGTTTTCAATATTTTTGAAATATCCTAGTTCACTAGTTAAAGGAAACAATTAGGAACATTTAAAAAAAAATTTGATGACGATTGGTTAACCCCAACGCCTCCAATTACTTCCGTAAGGTCCGAAAACGTGGTTCCGAGATAAACGCGTTTAAAGTTTTTGCTTCCAATGGCCGGTGCTCGACATGTGCTCCATGTAAGGGCATGTAACTTTTGTAATATTTCAAATTTGGATCTGAAATTTTTTGAGAACATTTTCGCAACATATATCTATACGATAAGCCAAAAAAAAAAAATCAATTTTTTTTTTGCCACAAGGTGAGAACCTGCCTTAAAAAATATTTATAATTGTTATTGGTTTGGAAGCGTATATAATTATTTTATGTGCACCATTTCGGGTGCCTGAAACTCAAACATTTAAGTAAAACAAAGTTTTAGAAACAAAAGGATTTTAAAGAAAAATGCACCTCAAATTTTGATAATAACATTCGTTTATTAAGCAAAGTGTGTAAAAAGTGAATTTTTTCAACAGGGCAACACCATTTCTAAATGAGACTACAGAGAACATAAAAAAGGCAAGAAAATGTTAGGAAATGATATCCACCTAAAGCAGCTCGGCTGTAAATCAGTGTTCAGCAGCAGCCTAAGCCAACATTAAAGTGCCAACACCCTCTTTTTCCACCAGGTGACATCCGCCTTGTGCTGCGGACAGACCCCAAACTAACCACAAACACCAATTACGCGTGTGCCCCGCTGCCGAAAAACAAAAAATATGCCACGAAAACGGTTGCCTGGCGAAATTACGGCGGGCACCGCAAAATAAAATGAGGCAAGTCCGGAGCCGGAGCCCGAGCCGGAGTCGCACCTGATCCAGCAGTTAACCCCGACTGCAGCTAGTTAGTTGGTTTCGGGCGACCTGCATGCATGCATACATATTTCAGAAAAGTTGCGACATTTTCGCCGGGTTACTTTTTATTTTTCAGCCGGCGCGTGAAAATCCGAGAGGTGACACTTGTCCAAATTATCTTGCTGGATAAACAAGCGCACTTAACGTGTTATCAGAGGCAAACGATGCCAGGATCCGGGATCCTGCAGGACGGAGCTGCCACACACACACACAGGCACACACTCCGAGGGTGAGAACATAACCAGCATTGTAATCAAAAGCAGGCGAAAGCTGGAGGAGCGAACAAAACTGACATGCAGTTGACTCCAAAAGAGTCGTAGCCTCGTCGCCTCGCAGGACACGAGGTGGAGGGCTCCTGGCCGCCATCCTGCCGCCGTGCCACCGTGCCATCCTGCCATCCTGCCATCCAATGGACGGTCGAGAGTCACAGTGTGACCGAGGTCGACAGGGAAGCACCGCTGCACGGAGAGAAAAGATCCATCTGTTGCAAAACATAAATATTACTACAAATCGAGTCCAATATGTAGGTACTATTAAAAAAAAGAACCAAAAGAGATTTTAAATATCTAGTATTTATTTTTTGAAATTTAATAATTTTTAAAAATCTTACAATTGTTTGATCTTGTTGGTTCCGCGTGAAACCGTAATGAATATATGACACATACATCAACTAAAGGCTCTAAATCCGGTTTTCTTCGGTTTTCTTTTCCCTTAAGAAAATCTTGCTCTTAGATCCCCTATTTTTCTGACAGTGCACATAAGTGTGAGTGCGGGGCCTTGTTTGTGTGCGTCCACACAGGCGACAGCTGCTGCATAACCCATACAATCCTTAGAGCCCGTACAGCTTTCGCACACACCGCCTCGCACTCGCACTCAAGGCGGGCTGAAAATGTTTAACACGAAAAGGAGTTATCACGCTGACAGCCTGGCCAAGCCCAGGGGCGTGGGAGGATTCTGGGGAGTCGCAGGAGTCACAAGAGTCGGCGGTGGAGTTGGGTCTCCGCAGTCCGGAGTCCCGAGAAGTCGACGTGCCTCGCTGCAAAATTATGACAAAGTTCTGCGGGAGAAAAATGCCGCAGAGGGCGTGGAAAAAATGCTTTGAAATGAAAACCAGAAAATAGGGTTCGCTGCTCGGGCCTTCGCTTTTCTTAAAGACCCTTGGTGTGCTAAGCAAATGATGATTGCTCTAGGACTATTAGTTGGTTTTCTTAAACGAAAGTAGGCTTTTTATACCATAAGTTTAGGGCAAATATGATTACTGAAGTTAAATGTTCACAACACAACTTACATATGTATTTTCATTTACTGAAAAAACTTTCAGTAAATGTAAGACTTTTCACTGTGAGGGGTGATATTTTTTAGTCGAGCAATCATTTGGTTTTATTGATGTTAAACCTTATAAGCAAACATTTTATTTGAAAAAGGGTAAAAAAAAAGTTAATTGATAAAAAAAACACTTACTATTATTAACTTAATTGACTTTCAAAGTTGCAGTTAAAGAAAAGTACTTGTAAGGTCATTTATATTAAATATACTACACTTGCATATGTTAAGAGAGCTATTGTAAAGTGGCTTATAGCTAATGCTAAAGAAATACATTTTTTCCCATTTAAGCTGGGCTCTCTCAAATTTAAAGCTTCTTTCAAGGGTGCATAGCGAGAAAAGTGTGTCTAAAACCGCAGGCAGTGCGACAGCTCGCAGACTGAAGTGGGCAGCTGGGAAAATTGGCAGGGAGCAGTCGGGGAAATGCTAGACAAAACACCACGCCTACATCGGGGGGCCGTCAGCTGCTGTCACTCAGCCTCTTTCCTTTTTTTAATCCCGCCTGCAAGTGAGATGAATGCGCGGTCGCAGAATTGAAGTAGCCGCAGTTGTTGCGCCTCGGAAAAATTAAGTTCCCGGAGTCGCAAAATTTTGGCGGCTTCCCTCCGTCGATTAGTGTGGGATAAATCTGTCGGTTAGCCGCTGCGGTGGCTTTTGCCTCCCAGAATTGACTTTAAAATGTGGCCACAAAGGCATTTAGCAGGGAGGTACCACAGATTATGGCAAAGTCAGCGCGACTAATTACACATGACCCGCCTCTCTGCAGTTTTCCTGTCCTCTTACACTGCCGGAAATATTGTAGTATTATCTATTTATAAATAAATAAACGTTTTAAAACGTTTGTACTTTTTATAAAAAAAGTGTACCTTAAATAGTTTAAATGTTTTCCATTAAGGAACAGGTTTTGCGGGAAGCTTGAAACCTTTTCCGCTTATCCTTGAGAAAAAATGTGACTTGAAGACTGTTTTTTGTGCACCCCTGTTGTTTTAGGCACGGCTAAAAACAAAAACGTGGTCACAAAAGGCAACTTAACCCGGTAACGCGTTAAAGAGCAAGCCGAGTGGCTAAGAGCTGCACCGAATACGACGATTATGATGATGCCGAGGATGATGATGATTACGGCGACTGGTTAATTCTGCCTGACTGGCTGCCTTGGTTTACTGGTTGGTTGCCTCAGTTTGTTGCCTTGGCCCAAGTTGGGCCAAAGGGGTAGTGCAATGGCAAGTCAAAGACTTTTTGAGTGGACTGCAGCACTCTGCAGAGGTTAAACACTAACCTGATGATGCCAAGCACAGTCGCACAACAGCAAGAAATGTGGAGAGGACTCCAAAGGATTCTTTCGACACGGCAAAGCGAAAATAAAACACACTTTTTGGACAAACAATTTGTTAATTACAAGAATAAAAAAATGAAAAATTTTTTTGTTATTTTTAAAGTATTTTTAAAATAACAATAATTTGGATTTAATTTTCGGCCCCAAAAACGACATGTGGATACACATAAATTTAATTTTATTTAAATATTAAAAAAAGTCATTAGGTGTTCTGAAAAAAGCACCACATTCTGTATTAAATAAAAGTTTATAACTTTTTTTTAACATCTC